GGATAATGAAACGTCTGCAAGAAAACAACCAAGTTTAGTGAACCCCAAGGACTCCGGCTTTCATATGCTCAAGCATCTCAGCCTGTGGACTGACAGTGGTGGAATTGGAAGCTCAAAACATCTGGAAGGCAGTGTTTGCCTTTCCTGGTTTTTCTGCAGTGGCACATTTTGGTGGTTCATCCCATACTGAAATAATAATTGCAAGAATTGTTGCCTGATAGCTGCCTGACTGAGAGCCTCATTTGCTTGCTTCTGGCCTCCCAGATCTTGCCATGCCAAGATGAAAAGATCTGTAGGAAAGTGGCTGTCAACCTGTTAACCCAGGATTTAAGATGAATCAATATGAGGATGTTGTTAAGGGGGAATTCATTTAAGCTTCCTTTGTCTTTCTCGTTACCAGGTTTTTGGTGTTCTGGAGTCTCCTGAATTTTCCAGAATTTCTTCAACATTCAGGCCAGTTATAAAAGGTGAAAAAGAAGAATTAGGGCACAGCCATTTGCTTGGGGAAAATGGCTCAACTCCAAAGGTGACTATGATGCAGGTCATTGCTTCCAAAGTGGCAAGTGGCCATCATGCAGATATGCAGGTACAGTGAATGTGTGAAAATAGTATCTGACTTCTTGTTCACATACACACTTGGCTTGAATGTTTAACTTTGAGTGAATGGAACTGCATGAAAGGTTAATGCTATTTTTTAAAAAATGTTTCCTTTTGATGTTATGTATGGGAATCAGAAATTTGGATTTACATTGATTGCAAGCTCATACCACTTACAGTAAGAAGTTTTGTTGGTATTATATGGACACGTTATACCCAACACTTTCTGCCTCAAAAGGTGCACAAAGTGGATTTGTAGTTAGAGGTGCTGGAAAAGTTCAGTTTTTTAAAAATAAACATGCAAATGAGCTGCGTAGACCAATGCGGAGATTGGAATGCAGTTAAAGTGGGGTTTTAATTTTTTTTCAATTTTTTGCAATAGAGTGGACAGTTTTCTTTAAAAGCTCATTTAAATACTTACCAAGATATATATTCTAGGAAAAATTATTTGGAAATAAAGTGTGCAATGTGTAATTTAATACAGAAATTAAATGACCCTATGCATGACCAGTGTGGATCAGAATTAATGTCCCTACTTTTTTGAATTGCTGAAATAGTCATAAAACATTTAAGACTTCAGATCCATATCCGTTTACTTTGGAATCAGCTCCATTTAACTCAGTGGGACTTATTTTTGAGTATATGTACATTGACTAGTGTTTTTTACCTGCACTTTTTTACATCTGCATACTCAGAAATTTTACAGCAATGGTAACAAAACCGACCTTAATATTAAAGACACAAGAGAATTGGGGAAAAAACAAACAAACAATGAACTAAATCCACCCCTTACATTACTTCAACCTTATATTATTTTAAAACTCAGTTTTTGACCTATGGCTGATTTAATTTTGGCTGTTATATAGAACTTGCTACTTGTGATACTAATATAAATATACTGATTTGTACTTATTTGCAGCCTGGGTTCTGAAAAGCTTATAGATAGTGTTAATGCTGACTTTAAAAAGTTCTTATCATTTTGTAACTATCATTTGATATAAATTCATATTTTTAGCTTTCAGACTTTGATTACTTATCAATAATCAGTTTGATTCTGACTTATGTTCATTGAACATTGCCTTGGATGAAGGAGTGGGGAGCACTTTTGGACTACCCAGAAAAACATGAAAGGACAGCATTGGGAACTGTAGAGAGATTGAAGGGAAAAAAAAATCAGTGTGACACTTCCTTTCTCTAGCTGAAGTTTCCACTGATCTCAGCTGCAGCTGTGGATAAAAGGAACCCACCCCTTCCTTGAAAAATTAAGTCTGAATCCAACTCTGTGCTTCAGCAAAGCAGTTACTTATGAATATCTAGCCATAATGAAATTTAAAAATGCCACTCTAAACTCTGGAAGATCTTGTTTTAACCATGTCATATCTTTCACCTTCCGCAGACTCCATCTGCATCTCAAGGCAGCCAAAAATGGGTATCAAGATGGGCAAGCCTTGCAGATAGCTACACAGGCTCAGGTTCTGTGCCCGGAGCTGGGGATGCCCAGCAGGGCATCTGTCACCTTAGCACAGGTAACTGAAGCAGCTAATGTCATCCCTGCATTTCAATGGATTTTAATCTAATGTATAAAATTGCCCTGCTTCTGTGCCCATTTTTCATTGCTTTAAATTAGGGTTTATATTCCAGACTTAGAACATAGTGTTCCTAAATTGGACAGTTATTTTTTCTGTAAGAATTCCCTTACATAGGAAACAACAGTCAAACTATGTGATGCTTGAAGAACTTCCCCCATGTCCAAATGTGAGTAGTTTCTGCTTTGGAATTCAGAAAAAAATTGGCTAGCAAAGCGAATCCTTCAGTGTTGGAATGATATGATCAAGGTAGCGTAGTTTGATAATCTACTTTGCTGGTATACTTTGCATCAACTTAAGCTTTTCAAGTCAAGGTTTATTTGTTTATTAGTTTAAATTTCTAGGGCTGTCCATTTGTCAGTAACTCTGGTTCTCTTACAAGGATTAGCATACACTAAATTGCAGTATTTTGGAACGTTAAGAAGGTGTGGATAACTTAGGAACGGACACAGCTGACATACTAAATAAACCGCTGAGGCTCTCCTTGCTATTTGAAGATCCTGTGATAGCCTACAGTTAAGAAGCTGGCCCACACTATGAACCAGGTTTTTCAGGAGGATGTAACTTATTCCTGAAGGGTTGCATCCCAATATCCATATGGGTTCCCTACTGACAATAACATGTCCATCCTGTCTAGATTCAGTCTCAGGTTATTCACCTCTGCCATCTCATAATCAGATTTAGGCAATATTGAAGGGTATCAACCAGTTATTTGGAATTAGATTTTATAAAGCAATAGAGCTGAGTGTCACTATTAACATTTCACTCCATAGATCCAGGGGACTTTTCTGAATGGTTTGATATATAAATGGGATTACATAAAAACAAGATAGAAGCCTGTGGGATTTCACAGGTCATTAGCTACGGGATTAGTCACTTTGTACTATCTGGACACAACCTGATGGGAAAGATTGGAAATGTTGCAACACAATGACTTCAAGGCCCAATTCTGCCAAGTTGTTCAGACAGGTGCCATAATCAATGGTATTAGAGGTTGCCTTGAAATCTGACCGAATCTATTTGATGAATCTTAAAACTTCATCAGATTTTGTCCTACAATTTAAGTTTGATGAAATAGCCTGTTTATACTGTCATGCTTTACTCATGTCAAGAGATTTCTGGAAGAAAGAGAGAAGAAATACCTTCAAAGTATGCATTTTAAAGCAGTGTTTAGTTGTTCTCCATGCATCTAAACACTATACATGGAGGCAAGCTTTCTATGCCAGTTCCCCTCATTCATCCTTTCTCTCCACCCATGGAATGTGATTGAACTTATTTATGGAGCTTTCCCAAAGATTTTAGATTCCTAGAAAATCAGTTCTAAAATCTTGGCAAGAACCTCCATGGAGGGAGAAGGCACACTTCAACAGTCCATTTTTCTCTATAGAGGTAGTGATGAGAACAGTGAAAGGACAAAGCTAGTATTGACATCTCTCACTATCTTTGCATGCAATAATGACATCCTAATTTTTGAGTTTAATGACTGTCACCTTATCTTTCTCAGATAAGGATTCCAGTTCTAGAATGGGAGAATCTGAGATTTCAGTGGCATCGCGGACCAGACGACTTCTTCCTCAACTCCCTCCAGGTGAAAAATTGGAAAGTCCAACACCAACTATTTTAATTTGTCAGGAGCCCTTTCCTGAAGTTTCCCAAAGGAACTTCAGTAATGATCCCAGGGAAGAAATATATGTGGATTCTGACAGTCGATTGTTAACTCAGGAAGATTTGGATCCAGATAGCCTTAGTGATGCCAGCAAATCTGATGATGGTATCAACTTGGAAAAAGGTAGGAAAAGCCAAGATGGCACAAAAATGTCTGAACAGGATCGAATAAGGGCTGAGAGTACAAAGTCTAGAAGCTGTCAGTGTCCTGTGCCAAGACTTTCAGGCTTGAGAGCATTAAGTGATCCACTGTCAACAACTTTCTATATGGGTCATGAGGAACAAGAAATTGGGGTTCCTTCAAAGCTTACTTCAAGCACTTCTCCTCCTCAAATAGACAAAGAAGAACCTCCTTTCAAGTATGGAAAGACAGCTGCCAAAGGAGTTAACAATACCTGTCTTTGCTCAAATGGAAAAATGGTTATGTCATTACATCAGGGAGTACCAGAACAACAAGCTGTAGCCACAAAAGAAATTTCATCTTTTGTTCGGCAGGAGAGTTTTACCAAAGAGAAATCAAGCAGCAGCGTTCCTCAAAACAGGCTACCACATATCTCAAGTCATCCTCTACTTAAAGATCTTGAGATCACACGAGCAAATCGTTTGGACTATAACCCTGAGACCCATCTCCTTCTTAAAGACACTGAAACTGCCCTGGCAGCCTTGGAAGCCAAAATACTTTGCCAAACTCACCAGCTAGATGCTCCAGAAAACCCTTCTGGGCAGCTGGAAGATTCTTTATCTGGAGATTCTGATGTGGATACAGCCAGCACTGTCAGCTTGGTAAGTGGTAAAAATCTGCCAAGCCACCCACCAAAGCATAAATCTGTGACACCTTTGCAAAAAGAGAGGTCATCGTCTACACCATCTGGCCAAGAGCAAAATGTTCAAGCAAGTGCACGTGAAAGGCTTTCAGAGAAACGGAAAGCAATTCCAGCTGAGACTGGGAGCAAAGGTGAAAGTGCAAGGCGTTTTCAAGTGAAACATAGCATAGGAACAGGTGGATCTCAGGATTATACAGATGATGAGAGAAGTAGCAGTCTCCCATATCTGCCTCCAAGTGAAATAGCCTCCTCTGACCAAGAGCAAACATCCTCAAGGCCTGTTTCTAAGAAGAAGTCTTTCTCACAGTCAACCAAAGAAGATCAGAGCAAGGTAACACCAACGGTGCAAAAGATTCAACAAGTTCTCACCAGATCAAATAGTCTATCAACCCCAAGGCCCACGAGAGCCTCCAAACTTCGCCGTGCCCGGTTGGGAGATACCTCAGACAATGAGAGTGCTGATGCTGAGAAAACAGCAGCGCATTCTGAAGGAACAGCAGCAATTTCCAAGCAACCTGTAGAGTCCAAGAAGCTCTCAAGACTTGACATTCTTGCCATGCCAAGGAAACGGGCAGGATCTTTCACTGTGCCAAGTGACTCTGAGAGTGCACCATCAAGGCCAACCTTTTCTGGGCGCAGTGCAGAGTCGTACTATTCTACTCGAAAGCCGCTTGTGTCAGAAGCCAGAAATGCTGCTAAGAAAACAGCAGCAGTGGCAGCTGCTTCAAAGCAGCCTTTCAGCCGGACACGTTCCAGCAGTGTGAAATATGCCTCTACCTCCAGTAAGTAACTGGGTGTTCACACTCTTTTTTCTTTACAATTAGGATTTCTTAGTATTGTCCAACACAAGTGACCTAAGTTAAACAAAAGAGAACATTTGGAGATGACTCTGTAATCCCTTGTCATAGATGTACGTAGACCTCCTTTGTATTTTTATGTTTCATGTTTGTATAACAGAACCCCTTTCTTATTTATTTCTTTCATGTAGAAAATCTCAAATGCTGTTATAATGTAACTGCCATGTTCAGAGTCATTGTGTCTCCATCCTGCATGTCCAACCTCTTATAATTTCCATCACATTCTTCTGGCTAGTTCCTTAGGTTAGGTACCGATAGAATGCTTCTAGTTCTGTCTAGGGAAGGAGTGGTTATATTTCCTCAATATCTTGTTTTGAATTTTCTGTGGCTCCTGTATAACTGTATAATTCTTCCATCAGGCAACCAATGGGGAATCATAAATCTTCCTCCAGTGTCTTCTAAATAAGAATCCTAGATTACACTGGCAAAATATTTGTATAAGTCTTAACAATTTTATAGATTTCAAATTGGAACACAGATATTGTATACTTGACATGTTCTCCTCTGTACAGGACTATATTCGCAGAGAAGACAACCTGTCAGTGTAGCCTATTTTCACCATGTGCTTCTCTTCCATATCTGCATTGTGAAGATGGGCAGAATTTGCACATAGTGCATTTGTGGAGCAATGCACACATGGTTTGAGTGATATCAGCGTAGGATGGAGTAAGCAACACTATGTTCTCTAGATTTTTTGGATTGCAACTCCCAGAGTTTCTTGCCAGTAGCAATAATAGCTGGGACCAATAGGAGCTGACATCCAAAAGATCTGGAAGGCACCAAGTTTCCTACTCCTAGTCTAAAGAAACTTCCTGCCAAGCTGCATTCTTTTATCTCAGTGACTAACTCCTGTGTTTTTTTATTTAGCACAGGGAGAAACTGAGGGTATAAGAAAAGACTATAACTTGATGCATTCCCAGGGGATGAGTTTGGAATATGCAGAACCATTTATCTATAAGTAATCTCAGTTTATTTCTTGTGAATATTTAAGATAACTGCTATTGAAATGAATTAAAGTCTTTGAACGGCACTATATATAAATGGACTGCATAAATAATAGATAACAGTGCGTATGATGGGCAATAAGGACCCAAAGTTATAGATCATATATTTTGGGGCGATGCTGCTTAGTTTTGGTTTTCACCTCAGTCCTAATTTTGCCCACTCCTTCTTTCAAATGAATTGGTTTTGTCTTCTAGTGTTTTGCAGCAATGACTAACAAGTTTCAGTGTAGAAGTAAGATTGGAAGTCCATACCAGTCAACACACGACTAATATTCCTATCCTAACTAATGCCATATAGGCTGTGGACTTTCTCCTTCATCTGCATTGCCCGTAGTTTGTAGAATGGCAGTTAGCATTTCAGCTCTCAGTCTTGACTAATAGCAGACATAACACGGTCTTTTTTCTTATGAATACATTTGCGGGGGGCAGGGGAGGAGGGGGAAGGCAGGAATAAGTATAGATAACTTTAAACCCAGTGTTATTTTAGTTAAAGGAACCCAGCGCAGCAGTTCGGAAGTCATTACTTTCCAATCAAACAGATTGCATTGCTGCTGAAGTATGTAATAAAAAAAATATTCTCCAACTTATTGCCTTCCTAATAGACCTACAGCAGCGTTGGGTTGTGGTGCTAAGGGAGCTGCCATCGAATAGCTCTGGAGGTTGCAGGGTTCAAGAGAGCTGTTCCAGACAGACAAAATCAATGAATTTGTCCTTCAGTAAATGTAACCAAGGACATCTGCTTTAGGACAGGCAGGCCTTTGCCTGTTAACCCTCCAGCAGTATGCACTGTGTGAATGCTACAGGACAGCCCCACAAAATTAATCCTTTGTTGCTAACACGAGAGACCACCAAAGTTACCCTTCTTGTGGAGTTTTCTTCTTCACTCACTGCCTGTTTACACAGTCAGTAAGCCTGAAGTAATTAATTCCCCATGTGTTTGTTAACAGGTCATAATTCCTGGATGACATAAATTGAAAGCAAACGAAAAAGTCCTGGAAAGTTGAAGTAGTTTGCAGGCTGCTGTTCTGTGCTGAGATAAATAGCCATGAAGTACCTGCCTGTGGCTGTTGCCTTGAGCATTTAGTACAGATTGATGCTCAGGGTAAAGCCTATATTTCAAGAATAAAGCTCTTTTGAAAGTCTTGATTGCCATTTCTGGCATCTCAAAAGGATGGACACTTTAAGATCCCTTTCTAAAAGTTAGAGCAGGGTTCCTCAAGCTTGGCGACTTGAAGATGTGTGGACTTCAACTTCCAGAATTCCCCAGCCAGCCTTGGAATTCTGGGAGTTGAAGTCTACACATCTTCAAGTTGCCAAGCTTGAGGAACCCTAAGTTAGAGAATCGCTGCAAATTAACGTAGGTAGTGTCTAAAACAAAAGTGGACTGGATAGCTTTCAGGTAGCTTCCTGGGTTTTAGAGTAAAGGCAATTCCAAATCAAATGGGTCATTCCATAGCAAAAGAAAAAGTATAAGTCTTCTTTTAAATAAAGGCTTGGGCCCACTGGCTTTCTTCTAAACTTAGGTTACCACCATGCCTGTTTGATAGCCACTATGAAGTGTAGAATGCAGACTTAGATGGGCTTGAGGTCAGTCTAAAAGTTTTGAATGTCTGCTTTATTTCTTTTTCTTTGCAGTTTCCATAGTTAATAGTTTAGCTGTAAACACACTGCTGGGAGGATTGAACTGCTGCTTTATTAAAAATCGTTATCTCCAGCTTCAAACTTCCTGTGAGCTATCTTGGGAAGTTTGAAAACCACTGAATATAAAATAGCAATACTGGATTAAATACCAATTTAAAGAGCCTGTAGCACTCCTGACTGTGTAAACAAGCCAACTATTTCTGCTTTTTCTGCTGGCCTTAAAGGTACTTACTTGTACTTGGAAATGGAGCCATCTGAAGTTACAGGTTCCTAAGGAGAACATATGGAAGACTAACTTGCTTAATTGTCTCTATTGGGGCCTTCCGTGCACATTGAGATTAAAAAAAAAAAAGCCACATGTAGAAAAATCCTACAGTGTCAAGTAGGCCAAAGTTTACAAACAGTTATACGTATATCTACTTTACAAAATATTTTTCATTCATTGATAGTGATTAATTTAACTTATGACAACAGACAGACAAAATGGGGGATGACCATTTTACCACACATTTCATCACACATTTGCAGTTGATATGATGAATTATTCCTACTACTTGAGAGGCTGATATAAATTGGTTCTTAACAGTTTACCACACTTCTTGCTTTTCCCTGGTTGTCTGCCTGTAGCTCTATTCAAGTGTTGGCTATATGAGGAACTGACAGATAAATGTAGAGCACAGGGCAGTGTGAAACAGCTCATCCCCAACAGTATGTGACCATCTAACTCTACCCCTAAACTTTGCACATTAGACAAAAATGCAAAGAGGAAGCCAGCTAAAGGTTCCTGTACATGGGTATTGGCAACATTAAATTTAATGGAACCACAAAATTCTAAAAAAATACATTTAAGATATAGCTGAAATCTCACAAGATCACTAAATTTCTTGTGATTTTGGTATTTTTCTATGATATCTCTCAAAACTTCAGGCAAGATGTTTAGTGCTCTCATCTCAACTTTTTGAGGTATCATACTCCATAGAAATCTTACTAGAAATCTCTAGTGAGATTTTAAATGACATTTGAAGTTTTTGTGCAGTTTTGGGCATTTTTTAGTTTTTAAAATGCCTGTGGCATTGCAACTGAAGCCAGCCCTTGTCCTACCTGACTGAGAGGCTGGGGCACGTGTCTTAATGAAAACATCAGTAGGTGGCCATCAGATGTGTGATAAAGTGTATGATAATTGGGTCATCTGTATCCATTCCAGCTGAAGTGCAAGCCATTTGATTTTCACTGATTAAAACTCTCTTCCATCTCATGGTATGCACAGAAGTTTTCTTGCCCCTTCTTTTCTTGGGCTGTTTGCATTCGTGTTATGTTTCCTGGCTTTTTGAAACCTGCCTGAAGTCTTATCTTTACTTTTCTTCTTCAATTTTTTCTTCCTTACCACCATCTGAAACCAATTCATTTTATGTAAGCTTCGCGGCGGCGGCAGCAGGGCTCAGATTATACTTCCACTTCCGAGGAGGAGTATGGCTCAAATCACAGTTCCCCTAAACACAAACGCTCCCATACCTCAACAGCCACCCAGACACCCAGGACCCGCAGCTCCGGGTTGAGTAAACAGAAGCATAGCAGCAGCCGAGAAATGGAAGATGAAGATTATGGTGAACATGACCCGTACAGTTTCATTGTGCAGACTGCAGAGATAGCAGAAATAGCCAGGTGAGACACAATTTGGCAATATTTTGAGCAGTGGATCAACAGTTGGAGTGGGGACAAGTGAGAAAGGATTACCTTTGAATGCAAAGAGAAACTAGTTTGGCATTAGAAGAACCAATATGGTGAGTACGTTGCACAGTGGTTACATACTAAAAGCACTTGTTTTAGTTGTGCCCCATGTCTCTTTCCATCCACAACACAAGCTTGCCATAATTGAGAGCTGCTTCATGTTACCATGCCTGTCAAAAACTAATAGGAGAAAGACTTTGTGCTTGTCCATTCAGCTGTTGTTTCAAATGCACAAAACTCCACTGAGATACAATAAGGTGTGGGACTTGGAAAATTGTAACATAGGCTCTATAATAGGCAATAACCCCCCCCCCCCGCCTTTCCATAAACACCTAGGGGGAACGTGAGAATCCAGGCGCTGTTTGTGTGCATGACATAGTCCCACCCATTTCTTATTAGTGCTGCAGGCATTACTCCCTCCAGCCTCAAAAGCCATGAAGTCTTAACCTCCTCAATACAGTATGTTTTGGTTTAGGATAATGTAAATGTAGATAATCAGCCTATCAGTTTAACATAATAAGTTGAAATGGTTGGATGACAATCCTTATTAAAAGATACATTCCAATTTTATAGAACTGATTTTAAAAAAATAAACCAGAACATTGTAGATTACACCCCACAGCATTTTTCACAATTGCATTTATATTCTCAGGCTCAGTTTACTGCTCTGGCATGTTTAATGATTTGCTTATTCCAAACAGTTGAGGAAGCAGGGCAGACAATGTGACTACTCGGAATAACCGGAAAACCCCTTAGCTATGGCTACCTTTACTTTTACTTCAGCAGTTGATTCGGAAAATGGTGTCCTACTAGCTCAGTGGTAGAGCTCAAGGCCCCTGGTTCCATTGGCCCTGTGTCCCTGATGGATTGCAGGACAGATTGGTGCCTGAAGCCCTGGAAACAACTATACTAAGTTTGATAGATCAAAGTTTAGGCTCAACATATAGCCATTTTCTAAACACTTTGCAATATCTGGTGTCCCATTGTATGGTTGCATACTCAACCCCAAATTGACTCATGATCAGATCATAGTGTAGCTTAGATTTTGGGACTACAGCTACCAGAATCCTTTCCCATTGCCATTCTGGCTGAGATTGGTGGGAAGTCTGGAAGGCACCTGTTGCTTATCCCTTATAGTATTTTTCTAGCAATGACGTTCCTGCAGATCTTATCCTAAGGAAGCCAAAAAAAAAACAACCCCCCCCCCCCC